GTTTTCATTATTGAATTTAGATTTAAACTCCTTTTTAAAAGTTAATGACGAGTTTAATATATTACCTATTATTGAAGTAATTTTTCTTTTTACTCTATGCAAAACTGGGTGTTTCGTGATATTCATATGTCATACGACTCACTGATAAAACAGTTTATATATATCATAATAAATCTATATTTTGATAAGATTTACTCTCAGTCTAGTCTGTTAACTTTCACTTACGACAAAAAGATAGAAATCGTTCGTTCCATTTTTTAATTGCAAATATTAAAATAAAAATTAATTAGTTCTTTTATTAACATAAATTTTTAAATTGAACAGCAAAAATCACACTTAGAAAGGCGGAAGCAAATCTTAAACTCGTACATTGAATAATCTAAGAAAATTCATACATTACCCAAAAATATTGTTAGCAATAATCCACCAAAAAAAAAAGATACGAAAAAGAATTTATCTACTAGAATACTAGGTACATGTCACATCGTTAAAGAGCAAATAGTATCCTGTTTGCCAAGATCGATGCGTAAAGTTTTTGGCATAGAAGCGGAGATTTGAAAGCATCAAAAAATTGGTAGATAATTTTAAATACAGTATTATAGTTTAAATTAACTTTAGTTTTTAAATTTAGTAAAGTTACATCTTATTCAGAAAAGAATTGAATTAGTGTTCGGCTTTAACTTTCAAGAACTACCCTTTTTGTTAAAAAAAAAATCGATAATACAAATTTTCAGCCTTCGTGAGAGTTTGGAAAGAAAAAAAATTCAAAACTTAAATAATATATATGTTATAAATTTAAATGTAGTAAATATAATGTATTAAAATGAATAAAAGCCACAATTAAAGTGCGTAACTAATGACAGACACGGAGTGAAAGTAACTCAAATACACATAATAAGAAGATTTATAGAATAGATACTGTATGTAAATTATAGTTTTAATGAACTTTTAGTACTGCATTCAGTCTTACTTGACCAACGTCTTATTTTAAAATCTATATAAAACATATATCTTTTATATTCGCTTTTGTTTTATTTTGTAGCATTTAAAATGGAATTTAAAACAACATGCCTGGTTGGTTATCGGAGTTTAAGTATACATATTTGATAGTCATAAGCTTTTTTAAGTGTGTAATGAATTTTCTATACAAATTATATCTAAGTAATTGTAATGAAAACAGTTCTGTTACTCAACAGTCAACCGTTTGTCATTATCTCAGTTAGATGATTATTTTTTAAATTATTCCTGAAATTACAATTATTTTAACAAAGTGTTTTTTTTAGTAAACCATAGAATTTCCCTATTTTAAGACGCCTTTCCTTAGTTATCCATGACACTTTTTGTAAGTTTGTTCTAAGTTGTACATATAATAATGTTGTCAAAATTTAAATATACTCGTAGAAGTAGCTATTTCTAAAACAATAAACTAGAATATAACTTCATGAATACTTCGTTTCGATGAAATCACTAAGCGAATCTGATTTGAATAGAAAATTCAGTGACTTGAACAGGATTTTAATCAGCGAATTTGTTACATTTTACCATCGAGGCACTACGTAAGAAACTTTCCGTTTCTCCTTCAACAAAACAAAGAATTACGAGTGATTAATCTTACATCTATGTATAGTGCGACTATGCTAAACTTTTATCTGTACTGAGGCTTACCCATACTTATACCTTTAGGTTTAGCCCACACCGGAATAACGTGTTACAGTATTCTTGACTATACACTTGTATTTAAATTAAATAATTTATATTAACAACATTATGTCAAAAACAAAATCATATGTCCGCACCTAATAATTTCACATTAAACGCACGTTCAATCAAAATCATGATAGTGAAGTCGGTTTCGCTTTCATACACACCTATTACCGCGTTAAGACGTTATTAAGGAAACTCGGAAAGACCTGCCCCACATAATAGATGGCTGTGTCAATACAGTACACGGGGTTAATTCTGACTTACACGACCCAATAGAAAGTGTACGGAACTTACTTGTACTCAGATATTATGACTATCGCTTTGAAAACATTGATTAGCTATGTTATATGCCATAATAAGTTTAATTAATGTATCATAAAGAACCAATAACATTTATAAACAGATATAATTATAATTGAAATATTAAGTTAAGACGATATAATTAAAATTATACAGAGCAAACCACAAGTACATTTAACGTGCGAATATTATAATTCAATTCGAAGCAGGCCAGATCATGATAAAGCGGAACAAAGAGCTCTCGCTAAGCCCGCACTAATTAAGGGCATCTACACATCGAGCGTTTCATAGCCTTCATTAGGGCGCACACACAATGCGCCGACGCTAATGTACCGTTGGTAGACCATCACAGATATGCATCGAGACGGTTAATGCCTTGTCACTAGATTTAATGTTGGCTATTTATTTCAGTTTTATTCATCAATAAATATCTTGTTACAATTTAATACCAGGATTCGAAGGTTAATTTCTATTAATTAATTGAATTGCTCATTATTCATTTATTTATAGCTTACAATTATAATATTGTGGAATAAATCGGATTTAAATTAATGAATATTATGTACATATTACACGCTTAAATTTTTCTATTACTTTCTTCTCTGAAATGCATGTAATATTTATATGTGTAATATTTAGATAATAAACTGCAAGTCATTGAAACTCTTATATAATCTAATCCCAATATACAAGCCACTTCTTATGTATGTATATATTTTCTAATGTTGCCTACCTGTGATGTATACGTGTTCGTATAACGACTGACAATTATCTAGTATTAAAACTCAGATTGTATAAAAAATGTCTTTATTGTAATTATATATTTCGTAAGTAGCTCAACAATTTGTTGCAGCTGAGAAGTTATTTTTAGTAACACTAAACTATTGCGTTATTAACAGTAGTAACTATAACACTAATAGTACATATGACTGTTTGTTTTTGATGCTTTCACACAGAAACAAATGAATATATTTTAATGAAACTCTACAATAATATAACTTACATCACAATAATATTTAGGTTCTAATTGTTCCCGACATACCATGAAATTAAATTCAAATGAGAAACAGAGATTAAAGTTTCATTTCGTCTAACGTCACTTAACACGGACGATAGATGGCGTTCTCTATAATTTTTCATATCTTTTAACTTTCATTATCCTTTCTTTCATAAAAAGTAAAAAATTCGCGTGAAAAGAAACATGCAAGAACTAGAGCTATAATTTTATTTGCGTTTGAAATAATAAGTATAGTAAGAGGAATCTACGAAACTACGTAACAATGAAGCTTTCTCGAAGGTCAACCATTGTTTGAGACCTTAGAGAAAATTTTAAGAGGCGTCATTACTTTAAAAGAGGAAATCTTGAATTTAGTATGCATTTAATGTCAGTTGAAAACGGTTATGGATTGGCACTTTACACTATTTATAGAAAAAAAAAACTGTTGAGGTGAAATTCTACATATTATTGTGAAAAATAAGACATTTATTAGTTCAACATCGCTTTAACGGGTCAATTTGGTCTTAAAAAAGTCGAGTACGTTTGCAAAGTATTCAGTAATTATGATTTGACATGGTATAAGAAATACTCTTATTGCCAATGTAAGCAATTGACAAGACTATTTTTTTAACTACTAAACAAACTAATGTAGGGATTGACTCTAATTTTTACCAAATTGGCTCTATTTTTTACCAAATTATACAGGTAATTCAATATGTATTCAGCATTTAAAATGAATTTGGTCTGAGTGAAAACAGAATGGCTAGAAAGGTGTAATGTTTTTACTGTAAATTATTGTATTATTATTAAGAGTATTATATTTTTATATTACAACAATTTACTAGAATGAAAAATAACAAATATATTGTCATACAGCCAAATGAAAGCATGCAAAAATATAATAAGGTTTTCTTTCAAATAAAGAAATAAGTTTAGTAATAAAAAAATCCCATTACTTAACTATAAGCATTTTTTTTGCCGACTGGGAATATATAACAATTTTAAAAAAATTGCATAATGAGTCCTAAAAAATATATATTTTTAGTAAGTATAAAAAAGATGTATGTGTGAATATTTTTCCTACATTTAAATAAAAAATACATATGTATATAGATGATTCTTTACTAACCATACAAGATTTAACAATGGTTTATAAAGTTTTCTCACATTTGTATTACCTTAAATGATTTTTTAATAGTTAAGTGTGTATAGCCTGTGTGAAAATTAAAACAAAGAGAAAACTAATTTTTCGTTTTTAAAATAAAAAATATAAGTGGGATTTCGAGTATACTTTTAAATACAAGAATATTTAAAAATTGATTTACATGCATGGAGAATGTTACTTAAGTAATAAAGCAGAAGTCTTTTACAAATTAATAATTATCATTTGAGTATTTTGCGACATTTGAAGTAGTGATAAAGGAAAGCATTTAGCACATTTTTTCTAACCTATATTATAACAGTTTCTAATCAAACTTTTATTAAAATATAACATAAATAATATTATAAATTAATAACAATATACATTGTTGAGCCAACATGTGTGGAAGATTAATCAAAAATAATTATTATCAGTTTAACACACAACTTAGGTTAGACTCTAGAAGATTCCTTTTTCAATTTATAGTGATAGAAAATAAAAAAACTTGATATTCTTGTTTTGAAAGTTTTTTTGGAGATATCTTATATTGTTAACTATTTACTTAACTCGATCTACATAAAGATCAGTTTATCACAGTAACAACCTATGTAAATATATTATACTAAGCTCACGCTATTATTACAATTAAACCAAGTTTTACGAATACAAAACTTGGTTTTTATGATGTTTCTAAATTTTCCTGACGAATCGATTACTTTTTAGCAACCATAGCACTGTTAGTATGCGAAAACATAAATTTGATATCAATGTGTACACGCGAAAATCTAAGAAAGCCCTCAGCCTCATAGTAGTCAGTAACTAATGTATTTAATCTCAAAATGACTTAGTAATAGTAATTCATTCTTGTATCATATAAGCATAGTTTTCACTCACCTGATGTTCTAGAAGTTTCCGTTTCAGCTCGTGGTAAGGCGCGGCCCTTGTCGCTATGGAAGGCGGTGGCAGGCGACCCTCCATACAGTGCAGCCAGCGACGAAGACAACGCAACTCATGTGATGTGTCTGTTGGATTGTGAATCTTATTAACTATACATAGTGTTTAAATCCACTTGAACATATTTTCTTACTTTAATTGACGTTAACAAGGGAATTATTCCTTTTTTAAATATTTTTTACCGATCATATAGTGTTTATCAAGTAACCAGACTTATAATATTAATTATTTAATAAAAATACTGATCGTTTTTTCAATTAATAAAAATAACGCTCAGTAAAAGATGAATTAAATAGTACATTATTGAAAAATATAATTAATCAATTATTTTCCAAGTGTTTTCCATTGTCGATTACATTACATTGTGAGACAAATAAAGTATTTAATATAATACACATATTAAGCGACCGACAGCGACATCTATCGTATGTATATCGTACTTCATACTACACAACTCTTACGTGTTATCATGAAAACTACACAGAATGTCGGGATACATTACAGCTTATTATCCTGGTGTCTCACTTATGTTATTGGAAAGTTTTCTCAAAATCTATTGATAACATTTTATATTTATTTATTTTATTTATTTGTAAAAACACTTAATAATTCAATTTATAGTGAACGTTGACGTCCATACTAGGCTAGGCCTGTATCGTGGACATCGATTAATTTCTAGCAGACAAACAGTAAAATTTTTACTACTCTTATAATAATAGAAAATTATAATCACACAATTAATTATATAAGGCAAAAAAGAAAACTGATCAATCATTGGAAAGTGTGATTTGTAAGTGAAGTGTAGGAGTTCAATGGCACGGCAACATCTTTATGTATATAAAAATTTCGTGTCACGTGTTTTTCCGCGATGGACTCCAAAACTACTAAACCGATTTTAAATTGGATTTGTATTCCGTGTGAATTTTGATCCAACTTGAAAGATAGGCTAGCATACTTCCAAATTTATAGTCACAATCAGGGGCGGATCTTGGATTTCTGGGGCCCTGGGCTAATACTGCTTAGGGGCCCTAACTAATTACTTAACTAATTTCCATTTTGACAAGAAACTATTTTCTGTAGTGATGTAGGTCTATGTAAGTACCTACATGAAGAAAATAGGAAAATACAATATTTTATTTATTTATTAAAACATTATTTATTGCATCATAAATTGAAAGGTTATGTATATGGTGATGGCTTTCACAGTGGTTTTAGTGAGTTGGGGCCTGTCTCACACGGACGGCCTGTGTTGGACGGCTCGTAAAAAGAGTTTCCCTGCGTCATAAAAAAAAACAGAAATAAAAACATTGTAACTGAATGCACTCATTCACATAATGTTCGTCTAAGTCATTTGGATAATAATCAATTATATAACGTACCCTTTCTAGATCTATGTGTTCTAGATTTTTTCTTGCAAATACATTAAAAATTTATTTTTTTTGCTATAGGTCTCATAGGCTTTGCTTCTTTATTTATATCCATAATCATCTTATCCAACGCTACGTTACGCGTGTCTTTTTTAATTTTTCTGCCCCGTTTACGGAGTCCTTGGTTTACTCAGATTTTGGTTTTCAAAATCTTGCATATTTTCCATACGATTTTTAATGGATTCATAGTTTTTTCATTCGCGTTTATATGTTCCGATTTAAAATAAGTTTAAATTTTTGCGCTCTTTTTTCGACCAAACTGTAATTTTCTTTTTGCCACTGCACTCTTATATTTTCTAACATACATATTATAAAATAAGATGTTTTTGTGAAAATATACAAAGAACTGGATAGAACTGTTAAATTTAATACCTACTTTGTAATGAGTGGAGTAATTCACAAATTATAATCATCAAAAATCGAATGAGTTCGATTCTTTTAGTTTTTAAAAATGAAATAAAAAAAGTCACGTTTTATAATTCTTTCTATTTACCTACTGCCTATTTAAGGCAGTTATTCTAAATATGCCGAATACTTTCAATTTTAGTAAATTAAAAAATAGGTCCGGTCCTTTTAAGTTTTAAGTTACCTGTTACTTAGTAAACTAAACACACTTAAAATATTTCTAACAATAAAAAAGTAAATTCGTCAAAATAGCCCGCGATAGCAGAAGTGCAGAAAAATAACAAAAAATCGTGAAATCCAAGTAAAAGACAACACACGGAATACATTGACCGAAAACAAATGATAGGGAATTCCCCGTTCCTTTTGACAGATGCGCACACGAGTTGATTGATTGTAGTATTACCGATCTTACAATCGGATTTTTTAAATTCTAGATAGTTTTTATTATTGACAATATCGTATTTTGGTTTCGGTTCGTTTGGGGGCCCCCTGCATTCGCGGGGCCCTGGGCTGCAGCCCAAAAAGCCTTTAGGTAGATCCGCCTCTGGTCACAATATTATTTTATTGCAAATTATTTATCTATTAAAGAAAATTATTTGTCTTTATTACAATTATCTGTTGACTGAGTTAACTATTCAATAGATGGCACTATGTTAATAATACAAACTAAGCGACTATTTAATAATAGCATAACCACCACGTGTTTCTGAGGCTAAGGTATAACCTAAATTTATTTATCAAAACACGCACTTCAAAACACGGAGATTTATGGCTTTAATAGGTAAACTCCAAAAATATATAAATAAAAAAACGTAACAGATATTTCTTGATTATAGGGCGATACGAAGTTCGCCGGGTCTTCAAGTAAATATATAAATTCTAACAATCTTTTTCATTTATATTAATTGTATTTCTGAGACTCACCAACAGTGTCAGATCCATCGCCGCTCGTATTCTGTTGTTCTGGATTCAGTAGCAACCTTAAGCTCTCCCATTTGACATTCAAATGTTCAACTCGCCAGGTCACCTGGAATATTGATGCATATTAACAACTAAAACTTATATATATTTATACTAAAAAATACAGTTGGTGTGTTTTTATACCTATTTATTACTTGTGTAAGTTCAAAACTACAAAATTAATTTTGAATTCTTAATTATATTATATCCCCATTACTTATAGCAGTATTCAATTATAATAGACTTACTGAGGGAACTTCAATGAAACACATACTTCTTTATAATAACAGACGTCGTATTTAAAGGTGAAAAATATTACGTCATACCTTAAAATTAATAAAACATATACGATATTAGTTTTATCAAAAAACGTTAATTGAGAAACCATTCATTAATATCATTCTATAATTTAAATTATCACTGGTTATTACGATGACGATTCAACTAAAAGAATTCGGTCCCTGTTAAACACACTCCCCCTTTCACCTTAAATTGTATTTGTCTTGTCCTATGAATCACTTTTAGTTTTTAGTTTAATTTTTCATTCAGTATTTCATTTTTTATTTTATTTTGTAAGTTTACCTTTTATTATTTTATTTCTTTTTTATATTTTTATTAAAATTTATTGGTTTTGTTTTTACCGCGGCTCGCGCTGGGAGGAATATTAAGCATGATGTATCTACCTGTAAATGTTTGTCACACCTAGTTTTAAGTTATGTGTATTGTGTATTTTAAGTATGTAATGATGTGTACAAATGTTGGTAGATCAAATTAATAAATAAATAAATAAATTATAAAGACTTTTGTTCTCATAGTTCTTTATCGATTTTAACAAATAATATTTTAAAAGTATACACCTATCAAATCTCTAAATTATCACGATAGTATACCTAATAGACATAAAATAAAAAAATAAACAAAAATAAAAGCTATGCCTTTACAACTTCTGCTTCTACTTAAAAAAAATTCCATCGTCTACATAAATTTTCATCTCAACGTCATAAAATTTTCATCTTTTAAACGAACAAAGTCACGGTCTATAAGTTAGTACATACCTCCGCCGCTTCTTGAGGTATACGCTCGAGGATCGCTGATGCCTGCTCGATGAACTTGGCGCGACGAGGCTCTACGGACACCAACTCACACATGCGGTTCTGACAAATAATAAATATATATATACTAGCTGTTTCCTACGGATTTTCTCGCACGAATGTTATCATTATTTGATTTAGTTTGGTACCTTGTAGATGGCTTAATAATATCCTGACTTGATGACCATTCATTTTTTATGAAAAACAAACATTTACATAACCGAATCGAATTAAAAACAGACGAATTATAAATTGGAATTTTTATTTCTGACACGTCTAGTAAAAATGTGATCAATTGAATAGTAGACCTATAAATAGTAGATATGTAAATCACACAATTATGATATATTTAAAAATATATTATAAAACAGTTTTATTTAATTTATAAAGGGCACATACATTGTGTATGTCATGTGACGTGTGTGATACGATTTTAAATTTTTCTTATTAGAAGTAATCTGAGATTTCCGTTACTTAACGGCTATCCTGATTACGTGAGGCTGAGATGAAAGATCTGTGGTATCACTAATCTATATACCTACACAGTTTTTAAGAAAATTGATCCAAACTATTATCAGAAAAATATTAAACTAAACTTAACACACACTACCATGTTTTGACGCACATACATACAAGAAATGTCAATTAGTGAAGAGATTTTAATAATGACAATTGTATTCAGATTGTATGCTGAGGCTCAAATAAAAACATTATGTTTAGCCTTTGGGGACATCTAAAAATATAAAAAATAGAATATATACAAAATATAGTTTACTTCAACGTGTATAATAAAGAATTTACATACTTAGGTCAGTAACATAGCATTTAACTAACTCTCAAAGGTTTATATTAGGTCAAACAATTACACATTTTACAAAAAAAAATAATCTAATTAATAATAATAAATATTAAGAAATATAATGATATTTAAGACTTTGGCTATTATTCATTTAAACAAATAAATTTCCGGATTTTTAACGCGTTTTTATTTTAACTACATATTCTTAATATTTCACTTACTTTACACCAACCGTGATCACTGGCAGACAAGATGAATATGTCATGACATTTTAAATATATGTATTTATGTATATGAATATTCATGAACCACATTTCTTTATATGATTTCTTTCATACTGTATGAAAATTTCATAAAGCACATTTCTTTGTATGATTTAATTGTTAAATCTCTCACCATTCTCAACTTCCTGCTAGATAAATTCTCCGGACTAGAGTATATCTCCTCTTGTACATGTGTGAGCCACTGGCATAGCTCGGTAAACTCCGATATCATCTGATTGAGAGACCACTGTCTGTTGAAGGTGGATGTAGGGTTCAAGAGTTTGGGACCTTTAGCTGATGGGTTGTTTGATAACAACTCACCATTCGCCTCCTGAATAAGAAAAATTATTAGTATTAGATGCATTGGTATTTATATTTGGTATAATATGTTTATTAAAAATATTATTTTTATGTTATTGACAGCATAACTAAAAGTAAATTTGGATATACAGGGTGACTGGTGAATTACTTTCAATATTTAAGGAGAATACTCGGTACATGATTCTCATTCGAATTATGTAAAAAAAATAGGTACTTAATTTTTGACCAAATTTCCGTATAAATAAATAAAGTGTGGATACGTTCCGAGTGTGGACGCGTGCGGCGGCGTGCTGATACAACACCACGCCACCGGACGCGTGTGTGTGTGTGTGTGTGTGTGTGTATACCTAATCTGTAGGGTGTTCACACGATGCGTAATTAATTACATAACTTTTGGTTAACTTTACTTAGAAGTTTATTAATATTTATGTTATATCAATTTTTATTTGGTCATATATGATCGTCAAATATCACGTCCTCAAGTATCGATAGTAATTCACCAGTCACCCTGTATATTGAGTTTTCTTTATTTATTAAGACAGTATAAATGACAAATAATATTAAAAGGTCAACTAATAGTTGACATAAAAAAGGGAATGGATAAAAAGCAATAGATACATTTACTTCAGTATTTTTTTATTTTTGTTGAAAATAAGTTACATCTCATATGTATATACTGATCGAATTTGTATTTAATTTGTCAAGTACTGTGAGATTGTATAAAATTATCTAGTTACATTAAGACCTCATTTAAAAAATATTTAAAAAGATACAATCACTTTATAGTATTTTGAGTGAAGGTAGAAAACAGTTAATACCTCAATTATAATATGAAAAAAAACTATAGAAAATTTAACAAGAAAAACTGTTAATATATATATAAATATATAACCAACTTAGTGTTTACATTATAAGTAGAATAGTTTGTGTGAGTTATTTATTTGTAAATAAAGCGCTGAATTAGACAGTGCTTAAAGCTCTTTAAGTTCTTCAAACACTTTAAATTCTCAACAAGCAAAACTTAAGAATATTACGTTAGTATTTTAATCAATTAAACATATTTCAAGTGTTACACTAAACATATTGCTTACAAGTTAAATATGCTTATGAGTTATGAGTAAGTGTGTGTTAATGTTGTATTAACTTTATCTACGGTGGTCGGTTAAAGTGGTAGGTGGTCGAATATATTTAGAACATTTTAAGAGTTTTATTTTGTAATCATATTACTTTTTAAAACGCGATAAACATAGACCGCACGCGATGGTGATTTAGGATTTATTTACACCAAGCAGTACAAAGATTCATGTATTTAGTAAAATTATATAATCACATAAAAATCATTATACGTTTAAACATAATAGATGCATGTAAGCCAAATATATAAAATAATACATATATCTAATAATGTATATTTCATGTTTGCTTTGCTTGTTAAGAATATAGTTTTTTTACTAGTTATAAAAGTAGACACAACGACTATATCAAAATAAAAATTCTTAATAGTAAGCATTCAACAAATATATTTAACATTGCACGAAATTATAAATAATCCTTATCGGCTATCATAATAATTTAGAAACTTGAGATGTCTTTATTTAAAAAAAAATTACTAGCTGACCCAGCAGACTTCGTACTGCTTCAATCAAGAAATAAATAATATCTTATTTATATTTTTCAAGTTTACCTTTAAGCTATAAATCTCCGTGTTCTGAAGTGCGACAGAATGATTGATGTATTTTGTAGTTAGTTGTCAAATCTAATGTCAAAAAACCGTTTGTATGAGAAATAGAAAAGCGCTGTTTTTAGGGTTTTCCCGGAAACTAATCAATCATTTTCAGCTTTTAAACCTTCCCTGAACCTCCACGAACATTTCAAGACTAAGATAAGGTAAATCCGTTTAGCCATTCTCGAGTTTTAGTGAGACTAACGAACAGCAATTCATTTTTATATATATAGATATCTCGATTCTTTACCTTGCACGAGTCTATGATCTGATTATCCATGATATACTCGTAGTGTTGTTGTAACAGAGGCCATAGGTCATCGGCGACACTACCGCCGCTCGCCGCTGAGCCCCAACTACGACGCCAGGCCTCGCGACATGGCTCCTTCCTGGAATAATATAGAAAAATACTATAATGATATCTAAGATTTTCGCGAGTACTCATTTAAATGAAACTAATATTTTCGGATTTTTACTTCGCATTTTTATTTTCGATTATAAACTACATACTCCCGACATTTTGCTACTTTTCAACAACCGTGATCACGGGCAGAGGAGCAGACATCGTATGTAACAAACGTCGGGAGTATGTAGTTTATAATTGAAAATCAAAACGCGAAGTAAAAATCCGAAAATATTAGTTTCAAAAATACTATATGTAGATACTGGAAATACATTTATAGGATCTTTAACAATGATTAATATATGTAAGGATATGTCTTTAGACCATAGCCTGAATCAATAGCATAAAGTTTAAAATTCTAGAAGTATTATGATCAAGAAAAACACTTGAAGATTGATTTTTACTTCTTAGATATACATTTAGTCTGGCAAACCTTAATTGTAATGTCTATGTATTAAAATTGTATTTTAACATGTTTGGAATGTATAGCTTTGAAAGACTAAATAGTCACATACAATCAAACGTAAATATACTTTTGTAGAATCTGTTTAACATTTCGGGAATATAAGTTTAACAACACGTACTTATATGTTGCTCTGGTTGGGTATATTTAAAATAGATTTAAATTACAAAAAGATAACATTAAAAACTATGCATTATGAACAATAAAGATTGCTCTACAGTTAGATATATATATATTAGCTATAAGCTAACCTCTTCTTAGTCAGACTGTGGTATCGTCTCTCTAGATGATCCATCGCTCCGTTCGTCTGCGCGTGCGCCGGTCTCAGCGACGACAGCGAGAAGCTGCTCTTCATTGTAGAGTTCTCTATACCTGGAAATGTTACATACAAAAAGATATAGCAACCGCTTGCTATCTACCAACGAATGGTTATATGTAAAATATTAATTTAAACATATCTTTCTAATGTAAGATCTAAGAGGTTTGCGAGTATTCATTTAAATAAAATTAAATTTTTCATCTTTACTATGCATTTTTGTAACATTTTAAACTACATACTCCCGAAATTTCAATTAATTTGTAGCTCGTCATTGACAGAAATGTCATTGAGAGTGACATTCACATCTCGTCTGTCCGTTATCATGGTTGCTGCAAGGTAACCGAAACGTCGGGAGTATGTAGTTTAAATTATTTAAAAAAATATTAGTGTTATTTTAATCTTACTAATAGATAAATAGTATATATGTATAAGTTAATGTAAACTTACTTGCAGACATGTTGCCTCTCGTCTTTGGGTAATCACTAACAATATCAATTTATATCTTAAATCAATGATAGTATTCCCCACAATCTTTGTACTGCCTCCTCTTTGTACTCTTCAAGATTCATTAATTAATTGATTGTTTCGTTCGTAAAATAACTACTGAGACTAGATTCGTTATGTTATATTAATGTACAATAAATAATTTCTTAATCATGTAATCTTGAGTAAGACTCATGAATATGAAGAATGTCTTTCTTTTGTGTTTAATCGGTGGTCACATTTTGTGTTTATTTATTCGCCCTTCGCCGTTTCAGCGAGCATTTCGTGTGTTCCGTGTCCGTTCCTGAAAATAAAATAATATTCTTTAAACATATGATTTAGCATATAAATATATAACTGTCATAATGAGTTTACTTTTTTAAAATTAATAATCATGTGACACAATTTCTGAATTAAAATTATCTTTATGACACTGACGCCAATTACAATGTATGGTCAAAGGACGATAATTTCCACCTTATTTGTAAAAAGCATGGTCTTCGCCTTAAGGGGCACAGATTTTAAATGTATGAGTCATATCTTATTTGACGTCAATTCAACTATACATATATATACTACATATAAAGTATTGATATTTTATTTTCAACTTTAATTATTAATCTACTCTGTGCATAGAAAATAATAATGTTATATTGTATAAATAAATTGCTTAATATCTATACAATTAATTGTATTCTAAACACACTAACAATCAAAATCGTCAATCAGAGATCAATAGATAGACATAACACGCAAACATACTTTCACCAGCAAAAATCAATTGTTTCACCGAACTTAGGGCACCAATCGAATCGAATGGAAAGCTGACAACTTGGTGCAATTTTCTTTATAGTTTCACACCAATAGCTGATTTATAGGACAAATTGTTAAGGCACGAGCTGCTAGTAAGGACTTATAAGGTTATAATGCAGATATTTCCCGTGCTTGGGAGTTATAACTTCCATTTGTTGTCTTACTTATAGTTAACATCCTTTCAAATAGGTATTTTTCTTTCATGTTTGTAATAGATATATATATTTTTTTTATATTTCGACTGGGTACTGCTTGACTGCCATTCTACCAGTTGGAATGTGGAAATGAAGTTACAGGTGGTCAACGCACTATCCTATAGTAACACCTTATTCACCCTTATAACGAAGACACACAAATTATAAATATATAGAATTTCAATTATTACTAAATATTCTAGTGGATATTGAATTCACTCAAATCAGTCCACCAATTGTCACATTCTCTCAATACTAACAACCAGCATTCGAGCTTAAAGTACAAAATAGTAGATACTTTTAATAACAAAACTCGTTAAAATACTTATGATTCTCGACTCACTACAATCGATGTTTATCTAATCCGCAATAAAATCGTATCAGTTGTATTAAAGTGTAAAATATAGGTGATAGATGTTTAGATCGTTTACAATAGTCAATAACTATCCTTCCGGCGGAGAAATGCGGCCCCGATTTCTTTTCCATAAATGTATGTGGTGTAGAACAAGTAAAGTTTCAGCTTTCTAGGTCAACTAAACTAAAGGGAGAGGTAGCTGGGAAAATTTTGACATGTATTACAACAATAGCTTGGCAATAAAACCTATGACGATCATAAGAAAAGTAATATTAACATACATATATTTTTTAAAAGTCTAAAATAATAAACGAAGTAGCTTTTCTAATTCTATAAAGTGCATGCTTTTAGGTTCAAAGTGAATTTCGATATAATGACATACTTTAAGATACGCTGGAAGTCAATTTACGTGAGTTGTTGGGCGTTTAGAAATTTCTTGTACCATGACCTTTCTTAAGCATGAACGCTTATCAAAGATAACTTGCCGCGGGGAGATCGAAGTATTGTAAACACTATCATGAGAAGCTATTGCGATCAGACATGCAGATTTAGTGAATTGGTGCATGAAAAGATATGACATGCTATTATACTTCGATTAGAACATTTAGATTAAAAATAAATTTTACTTTACGATATCTTTAGAATTTTTTTTCATAAGATAACTTTTATAGCAACTATGATCAAATATACGTTTTAAGTCTTATGTCGCATAATTTGGATGAATTTCATCATTTTTAATATATGGATATGAGAATGGCTATTTTTATTATTAATTAAACTTTTATATCTTCTTAAATAAATCTTAATATAAAACCACAGCAATATTAGTGGCAACAAACAAGGAATGTTTAAAGAAAACAATTATTTAACGTGTTCTTGAGAGTACAATTTTTTCTATTATAATATTACTAACTGGTTTATTGTTTTTAATACTGCCTTAAGGAAGTTACTTCATTTTCTATTTTTTTTCTCTATGGAATGAACTGTTGATGTTTTCTCAATGGACTAAAATATCGGATTCTCAAAGAGAGGAGTAAATACATATTTGAAGGATAGCCAACACGCAAGTTATGCCTTTTACATTGAAGGCATCCATAGACTACAGAAATATCGAAGTAATTAAAAAAAAAGTTTAAGACTGTATAGATGACTTGTTATAAAGCGGCGAACGTATAATTGAAGCGCGTTCGTGACTGCGGAAGGTAAAAAACAACAATCAAATACTCTAATGTCTTACTTAAGATCAATGACCTCTTATTAATAATTTGCATGATCTTAATGTCATAAGTCACGAGGTTAATACTAGTTGTGATCTTAAAACAATCATTGCTTTATTACGTGAAGAACAAACGGACACACATCGTCTCAACAAAATAATAACAGTACACAACTTTCGAATATACTTTGATGGATTTAATTTAAAATTAATCATTCCTTACGAATTAACTTGCAATTTAGAATATAATTAATGTCGAAAATTGCGTGTGAAAATTAAATTCTCAATTAAGTCTCGCTTTCCATGACATTTTAATATTAAACAAAGCATACTAAGTTACTAACGACATTTTATAATGGCTTCTTTTATTAACATAACATAAAATAACGTGGCAATCAGAAATATTATACAAATGTATTATACGTACTCTTTATAAATATATATAATATAAATTTTACCGACAATCATACCATAATAAATACCATTCAAAGAGTGGTCATAAGAGAGAACATTGAAAGAAAATATTAACATTAGTCTGCAATAAACATGATGTATGAAGTCAAATCATTGTCAAACCATCAATTGACTCTAACAGTCAACATTCCTGAACGTACATGGTGATATAGCATTTAACTGGCCCACTTATTGAGAGATAAGTCAAGTATTAGAACCCGGTTTAATTCTAATCACGATCGTACAATACCTGTGAAAATATAAGACATTACTGGAACCGTTTACTTTCTACTAACATATAATATATTATTAGTAATTACCCTGACGAGATGTAGTAGAGTTTATATTAACTTAACGATAAACACAGGTTGAAATTTATTATTAGTCAGAACAACAGCATTAACAGTTTTATATTAATAAGACAATTTAGATACGAATATATCCGAGTTATGAATAATGAACGATGGTACAGTCGGTATTTATGTAAGCGATTATAATCCATAATAGGATACATATAGTTATATTCTTCTTCTTCTTTCTGGCAATTTCCCAGCATTAGCCAGTCTGCCTTACATGTTGTGAATAGTTTTGGCTAATTGTTGTTACGACCGGCCGCCTGCCTGACATCAACCCTCTTTGGGAATACATATATGTAGTTATATTATTTATTGGTATGTATATCATTTAAGAGTTGAATACACTGTTAAATACGAAATATTGTTATATGCTATTTTTAACATAGTATAGGTACAACATACGTACATTTTTGTAACATATTCACAGTTCCTTATAGAGTTTATTGACGGGAGATTGTATAACGTTTATTGAACACCATAACCGATACTTTATCTTGAATGCATGGAATAAAATGACCACATACAAACCATTTAACATACGCTTTCCTTCATCGATACGACAATAAAAGTAAATTGCACAATATATGAATTTGTTACGATTATAGGAGAAACTTATTAACCGAAGTGAGATATGGAAGGAAGTTATACTTTCGCTTAATAATGAATTCATTACATCATTAAAAAAACACGCGAGAAACAACTAAGAGGTGTGATGTTTGTTTAAGGAACATTTAGTCTAGCGATCAATCATCTTCACCTACATTTTCACACAGACGTCAGATCCTCATTTGTTACAACGCATATTTTTATACTCAATAAAACATCATATTAAAACAGAACTATTTAACGATACAACATTATTATCAGTTAATAATATTTGTAAGGTATATTATATGTTTTAAATCAAACAGGAAGCGAGCGATTGCAGTGATAATTTCAAGTCCCATATAAACAAAGTGTTGACCCTGAGAGCCGAACTTCGATTCCTGGTAAAGGACCACACCAGGAATGTTCAAAGATTACTGTCATTACGACATTAGATAACAAAATAAAAACAAGATTGTTTCTCCCACATTATGTGGTCTATACCTGGAAGTTTAATTTAAACAAGACAAATTATTTCGTTATTTATTCTTTTTTATAATAAACTTAACTGATGTTTGAATCAGATATTCTTTACAAGATTATATTTTTATACACGTTGACTATTGGTCTGGATATTGATAAAAATTCCACGGCATTTTGAACACCATGAACGAAATGAAATGTAAAGCACGAAATTAGAAACAGGTTTCTTTTAACGCTTATTAGAGACTACATTTACAGTGGTGTTATTATAGAAAGAGGAGGTAGCACTTAGGAGAAAAATTCTAATAATAAACTTCAAGTTAAATGAGTTTATGAAGTGTTATATAAGTCATCAGTCACGAATAATTAAATGCGTGATAATTGCAGTAGGCTTTATCTTCCAATCAATAACACATGACAGCTTAATAATTAATTAGCGAAGTGTAGAAAGTTAAGTGCTACTATTACTGAAGCTTTAATGGTTCATTGCTAAAAGAATTGAAAAAATCACTTCTCACA